GTTTCTTGACCGCACCCAGAGAATACATCGTCGTGCTCTTTGAGCGTCTGTTGTCTGTATTGTTTGCCATCCGGATCCGTGATGCATGCGACAGAATCTGGATACTGAGGTTTCCTGGGAGCAGCCGTGAGCGAGCCTCTTCACAATACATGCAAAGTTAAGGATTCGACCGACGTTAGCTGGTTCGTGATGATGTGTTGATGCTGCGTGGGAGTGGATCCGACAAGGCGTGCAGGTGACGCAAGGAAGGCGACAAGTTTCGCTAAATTCCGTTCTGTTTGGACTCTTGCATGAGATAAGGCAGCATGCAGGTTTAAGGCCGTTCTAGGCGGGGTATAGACTGAGGTCTAGGAGAGTGAGTTTCGCACCCTATAGGTCCATTGGTTGCCGGAATGCGGTGCATTTACGTCCGGGAGCTTCAGTTAGGGGCCATGAATGAAAAATTGCGAACACAAGGGGAACATCGGGGTGTGCAGCTCACTCGGCATCTCGCACAGTGGGCATGCACTAGTGGTGCGGAGGGAGGCCCTAGCAAGAACCAGGGACCGACTGTCGCACTTTCCGACCAGGAACACGGGTAAAAAGTAGACAACTGCCAGACAGCTGCACAACCAAGTGGGGACACGCGTTGCAATTCCATTGGCCACATGCTACACACGCGAATGAGGTTAGATATTAGGGTTGAGGGGTGGGCCATGCGTACGGGAAGATCACCGTTCTCAAACGAAGACTGACGGGCAACACAACGCAGTATCAGAGAGTGCTAGGCAAAGAATGTACGGCTTCCACCTGCTGGTGAAGCTAAGGAGCCATGCGTCAGGTGCATCGGATCCAGTTGAGACAGCCGACCCCCGGCAGCAAACGGCTCGCATCCCAAGAGCACACTGAAGGTCTCTTTTGTTGTTCTGCAGTCGATCAGGAGCTCATCTGCTCGTGTGCTATTCTCGGTGCGAGCTGAACTTGGACAGGTGGAGGCGACACCTGGATTTTATTCATTCAGAAGTGATCTCCAGGCTGAATACCCTACCGTGAAGGATCCTTCGACGACCCTGCTGGAAATCAACTCCAACAACGTGTCGTCGCTCAGCACAGGCGGGATGATGCTTTCCTGAGCACTGGGAAGGAATATGTGTGCATCCGCAACCAAGAAGGCACAGTTCGGGAACTCTAAGTCTTATGGATATTCTTGTCTTCATCTTCACACCGCTGCAGTCTTGCTTCCAAGTCATCCTGTACCTGAGCATCTTGATGCACAATGAAGCTTCCAGAGCGGACGTGCCTTACTGGGCCCCTCTCACCGCTTTAAGCGCTTGCCAGCCTTCTTGGAGCGCTTCCGCTCGGCAGCTCCATCTGTTGGACTTTCTCCTGAGGCGCTGCGGGGGCAGTTACCCTGAATAGAAAAGGATTCAGATGATGATGGTTCCGTGATGATTCAGTGATGATGTTGAGGACGGGCAGCAAATGGACTTCGCCGACAGCAACGATGGTGGCCTTGCTGGCGATGACAACAACCAATTTTTGCCTTTACTGCCGTTCAACCTGCAGTGGTTGTGGTGATCGTGATGGCAGCGGTGATGGTGCTGGTAGTGGTGGTGGTGGGGGTCGTCGTGGCAGTCGTCGTTGTCGTAGGAGTAGTCGTCGGAGGAGGATTCTAATTCTTATTGCTCGTCCTGGTCTTCGGCCTTCGCCCCACGTCGTCGTGGTCGTGGTGATGGCCATGGCGAGCTTTAGCTCCGTATGTTTGCCGTGTTCCTGTTTGCATTTGTTACTGTTCGTTTTGTCGAGAGTGTGAGGACTGTCTATTGACGTTGAGGTATTGGATTATTCCGCAAGCTCCGCTGGTACCAGTTTCAAGCTCATTCTGCATTGCTCGCATGGGCCGGACAGGCTTTCCCAAGCGAGTGCAGCGGGGTGTCCCTAATTCAGCCGCTTAGATTGGTTGTCAGTCATGCTTGCAGATACCAGACATCATTTGCCTGTGACAGCATGCCTGAGAAGAGTGTGCATCGAACCAAGGGCAGCCGAAGTGCCAAAGCTTTGCGACTACCTCGGGCAGTTTCAGGCTTTTTCCCTGCAATTAGATGGATGTCTACGGTGAGTGTTGGGTGAATAGGATTCTTGAGTGCGGCTCACAGGTGCTCGGCGGGGCAGTCGTCACGGCCTATGCTTTGGTTGCAGGCCCTGTGACAGAAGTTGCACGCACTGCCGCAGATCTCTTATGGAGCAACGGGGCTTCAGACGACGAAGTCGCAGAATCCGCGAGATGCTCGCAGGCTTGCTGGAGAGCTTGCCTGTCACCTTCTTGGTACCGAAGGAGGCCGGGGCAACGGCCGGAGGTCTGCGGAGTTCAGGGAGATCTGAAAACAGGGCATCGGACGTGTTGTGAGGTGGAGCCGACTCCAGGTGATCTCAGCTTTCAAGCAGCCGCAGAGGCACAGCTTCAATGCTGCAGGCAACTGCTTTTGGTTGTTCCTGTCGGGAGTCCGAAAGGCGACAGGTCAAGTGCTGACCATCCAAGATGGCGACGTGAAAGTTATGCCGTCGACCGCAGAGTCCTTGATTGTGACGGCATCTTGGCAAGAGACAGTCGTTGCAGTCTGTCCCCACTGTAGCCGGGAAGCAAGTCGCAGATTTTGGTCCTAACGGCTCTGGAAGGTTGGGCAGCCAAGCGCAGAGCGCCAGAGTTGCGTGCTCGCGACACCCTACCGCGCTCTGGCCAAGTTTGGGAGATGTCGCATGAGTCGCAAAGCGCAGAGCATCCTAGGCTGCAGTGGCCGGCAATCCTAATCTCAGATTGAGTTGTTCAATCTTGCAAGATCCCGGAGGATTGCAGCCGAGGCTATGCCAGTTCGGCACCGGTCAGTAGCCTGAACTGGACCACGAAGTCCGTCCTGGATTGCAGCTGGCTTCCATACAATGGCCCTCGAAAGCTGAACTTGGACAACATGATGCAGGAGGCACAGTCCACACTGTCACTATCATAATGCGGCCCAGGGTCGATTTTGGAGCGTCCGCTGCATGGGTCCTCGTTGCTCCTTGCAATCGACAGGCCGGACTGGACACCGGTGCCGATCACTCGCTGAATGTGACTATCTTGACCACAGTAAGGCCTGCCTTGCATGCGAGTGTGAGTGGGCACAGCGCAGCCGGTTTCCGTGGCTCTTGTATCAAGGCGCTCGGGATACCTCTGGTCTTTCCCGACAGCAAGCGCATTCTTCTGGCTGCGGGAGCGCACTCCGGCCCCGCAGGTCGTCCAGGCTTGGGGGGCTATCGGTGGTCTTTTGCGACGCCACGGGCCACGGGCTCTCCGATTCGCTTCCAGGTCTTGGAGCCGGGTGCAGCGAACCCTGCAGCCATGGTCTGGTTGCAGGAGCTCCCGGGTGTGTTAGGGCAGGAAATGATCAGATTCAGCGTGTGGGAGCAGTGCAAAGGAGCAGGGAGGCGAGGCGGTCAACAATGCAAATTGCTATTTCACCTTGCACTACGAGCCCCTGGAAATGTCGGATGCTGCAGCCTTAATGGCCCACCTGCCAGAACGCTTCTAGTCTTCCGCAATCACCCTCAGGTGCCCGCCCCGTTCCTCGTCGAGGCAACAGCCAGCTTAAACGGACTCGACAAGCCATGCAGTTGATCAGTTAATCATGACCAGGTCCCTACCGTCACTGCGAGCGTCGCTAGCTTTTTGGACGCCTTTCGGCCGACAACTCGCGCTGAAGGCCTGCACAGAGCCAGCGATTGGAGGACTCTTTCCATGGTGTGCGCAGCGCTGGTTGCTGAAGCACGGCTGTCCGGCTATCCGCGTGTGCTTTGCTGGCTGTCACTTGGAGGACAAATGTGGATCTGTGTTCCTGGCCATCTGCACAGCCCTAAGCAGCCTGCAATGATCACGACTTCTGTCTTCACTTCATGTCTTTCATCCACTGGCAAGGGGGGAGAGCACCCGAGGTCTGCGAGCTGCCGCTCAATGGAACATTACCTGCAGAATTGGTGTACGTGCCATCAGGCTACTCGCGGCCGAAAGCTTAGCATGTATCGTCTGCCTAAGCTCCTGCCGTTTCTGTATCTGCAATTGCAACTTTCATGCTTCCGTCTGTTGGGGTGCAAAGGCTTTGTGCCTGGGCCCGCTGGCCTGGATACCTCGAGTCAACCCCCAGCTGTCCGCTTCCAAGTGCGAGTTGTCGTGTTCTCCGGGTGCACCAGCCGGACAGGACAGCTAACCGGCTGCAGCTCTTGCTAGGCTAGATCGGATAAAAAGACGAAGTCTCCGGTAGGTCCATTGACTTCATTTTGCTCGTCTGGGTGCAACGGCTCGAGAGGATCCATGTTGTACAGACTTCGAGGCAGTTCAGCAAGAGGCAACACATTGCAGCGTTCTCTCTATCAAAGCAGTAGGAGAGCATTTTTTTTTTGCAGTTTTGGGTTCTTCCCTTCAAGTCCGTGCTCTTACGGGGCCCCGAGGAGCCGGCGTAATGAGCCAGGAGAGGGAGGGTGATGCGCTCATGGCAGCACCTGAGAGTTCCTTCTCCATCGAAGGCGACTCACCGAAGACCACCAAGCCCAAGCCTCCTTGCAATCCGCTGTGTGTGCCAGTGTTCCTAGCCGTGGTCCTCTACGGACAGCTTCTTCACGGGCTGTGTGCGCTTCTGCTTCTGCTGGGGATCCGTGTGTCTCCTCGTGTCACTGGCGACCACACCTTGCGCATGATGGCAACCACTTTCGCGACGACGGCAGGCTCTCATCCGGTCATTGACGATACACAAGGACCGGTGGTGTTCCTTTGCAATCACAGGAGTTGGGGCGACTTTGTGGTGGACTCTGCTTTGCTGGGGGCTCCCTCTTTCGTTTCTCGATGGCTTGTGGCCCTCGGAATTCCTATGACGGCGGCTTGGGGCTATCTGCATGGGTGGATATGGTTCTTCCAGCGCGGAACGAAGCATGCCGAGGGCACGGTGGCCTGGACAGCCAGTTTCTGGGACAACAAATACCACGCTTTCCCTGAG